TGCACTTAAAATTATAACCTACATTTAACATTTTCTGCACTTTGGGGATAAAGCGAAATAAAAAGGGACAACCTTCTGCAAAAAGCAGCTTACGCTAACGCCCTGCAATTTTCATTCACGAATCGACATCTTTGACATAATTGACTGCCAGCGCAGCAAAGGACCCACAATACCAAGAAGAATGAAAGCCACAAAATATATAAATAAAATTGCAACAACCCATAAACACCGCCGGTCCTTGAGCAGCTCTGTAAAAAATAAAAACCAACTAAAAGCACCGCAATGCAATGACGATAATGAAGAAAACGAGAGAAAAAAGGGGGAAAAGCGGGGAAAATTACAATATAAAGCTGGACAGTAAGGCGACGGAGCCTGTCAACCGACTATTTTTATAACAATTTGATTATATTATGAACTTAAGCATTTTTCTTCCGCTTTTTGGGGTCGTCATCTTCATTAGCACATTAAAATGTCAATGACACTTGGTCCGCAGGTCCAGAGACCCTTTTTTCCGGCTTCCCAGGCCAAAGGGTAAGTATTTGAAAAATGCGCGGAAAATGCCAGAAAGGAGGTGGAGTTGGCTGGGAGTTCCAGACATCATCACTGACCGCATGGCATTCTTATTTTTCCTCACTTTTTTTTCCGCCGCCTTCGCAGTGCTTTATGATTGCTAGACGGCGGTGGAAAATGGCAGATTGGTGGGAAATGGGGGCGGGAAAATATCAAACTTGTCGTAAAAAAATATGCTTAACACTTGTTTATGTCGTCATACTCAGGCACTCTATTTTTAACAAGATACAGTGGGTTGTCGAGGATTTGGAAAAGGGTTTAGGAAGTCTCTTGATTTCATAAACAACTCTAGAATTTGGTTGGATCCAGTTTAAAATTCATTGAATTTTTCACCACTTTTTCCTTTGTTTTTGCTTGAAGAAAGATAACTTTATATTTGCGCTAGAGTTCTGAAAAGCAAGCCAGTGATAGTATTCTTCTTTTGGCTTAGTATAATAACCAATTTCCCAACACGCTTTCCAAACTTTCTCGTTCCCCGGCGAGAGCGCAAAACTTTCGCCTCGGTTCATTATGGAAATACTCCTGGCTTTTGTTGATGTTTTTGTTTCCGTATTTCCGTATTTTTGCCAGTGTTAATTTTTTCGCTTCCTCCATTTTTAATGGCAAGCTTGAGCACTTTAAAGTTTTGATGGGCCACAAGCGCCTTGCCAGCTGCTTCAGCCACGTTTACTATGGCAATTCATTAGGCTCAATTGCCCCGCTCCGTGCCGTTGTTATTTTCATTGCTGTTGTTGCAGTTTTTGTTACCCGCTGTGCCATTGTTGTTGGCCCAGTTTGGATAATAATGGAATGAATTATGTTTCCACATGGCAAACACTTGAATCTCAGCGGGTAATCTCGCCTCAATGGGGGAATCAAAAGTGTGGGAGAGGATTAGCATTGGTCCGATACACAAAACACCGAAGAGAAATCGCTTAATTAACTTAATCAAAATATGGCGATTATGAGTGGGGCCCATGGATCGCTTTTAATGGCATGTCCTTCATGTCCTTTTGTGAGCTTTGTTTGATTAGTGCGTTTGCCCCAGCAAACAAATAAACAAGTATCCCTGTGTGCGCTTCTCTTTTATTTGTATTATGACAGCCGTTCAATTGATGCAGAAATTAATTAAAATTTCCCTCGTGTGTCAATGTGTAACTATGCGTGTGTGTGTATGTGTGTGTCGCAGGACTATCTGCCTGAATTGTCCTTTGGCCTAAGGCTAAGATAAATTACAATTTGCCAGGACCAACGTTGTGAATACAACTGGAAACTGGTAATTGCTTTGCATGGAACTTGTGTGTGTAAAAGCAGTGGAAATTGGCTAAAATAAATAGTCGACTACACATTCAAATTTTAAGTGGTCCAAATATTTGTCTATGTTTTTAGAATATTTCCCGTAATTGATTAGAACAAAGCTTAAAAAAACAAACATTTGAGTGATACTCCTCCACATACAGACAAATTTTTCTCCTCGTTTCGCTCTACTTAATTTATCCTAGTCAATTACCACTGTGGTTAATAAACTCCCAAGCAAATATTTTCTCATTTCCAGCTGGCTGTCAATTTCTAAAATATTTCTATATTTAATAGACTCCAAATTAATTCCATATTACTTTATTACTTGCTGGCCAGGTCCTTTTCCCTTTTGGCATAAATACCTTCACCTTTTCAATTAACTCGAGTCTGGCCAAATAATACCTATTCTCAGGACGCCAACAAGGATGTCGGAAAAGAGCAAAATTCGTGCTGGTCCCCAGAGTTATTCCGGAGAAAAGTCTTAAAGGCAAACGTTCATGGGTTCGTCGTACCATCTAAAATAATTTAACCCTTTTTTCCCTTTCCTTTAAAGTAATTTAATGCCTGAGTTCCGAGGGAAGACCCACACATTCCGCAGAGATATGGCAAGTTTTCCTGTCTGCCATTGATGCCGCAGGGCAGAGAGGGCAAAAATAGATTCGGCATTTACAAGGGGAATATTTCATGGCACTTATCAAAGGCAGCAACAATTTAGGTTAAATACTCATTAATATTCCGGTCTGCAAAACTTTTTTCCTGCTCCTCCGTTCGTTGCTCCTGTGTTTTTGCCAAATAAATTTATGCCCTTTGCTTTTGCTAGCCGCCAGGCACGAGGCCCAAAAATATAAGACAACCGAGCCAAGTCCTTTCTTGAATCCCAGCCAAATAAATAAGCACACGCACATGCCGAGCAACTCGGGCAAAAACACACAGAAGAAATTAATTTTGCGTAGCCTACTTTCTTCAGTTTCGACCGAAAAACAAGCGGGACAACAATTCAACAGAAAAATGATAATTGCCTGGTAACGTTGTCTGCAAAATGCATAATTTATAAATTAAGCAAAGTTGAGGAAAGTTGGCAATCGGAAAGTATGGCCAGCAACTGGGAGCCATTATGGAAAATGGCATACAAATTGGGCAAAATGCAAGAGAAATAAGAAAAGTAAGTTTAATGAAAGTGGGTTGAATAATAATGTGAAAATTTACAGAACAAAGTACCTTGAATACCAAAAAGATGGTAAGTTTGAATATTTATAATATAACTACATAACGTGTAATATATATTTTTAAAACCTTAAAAAACTGAGTAACAATAAAATGTACTCAAAGAAGAATCTCTTCCCAGAAGTATTTAATTTTCTTTTATTGGACACACCGCACACACGCGAAGAGAGCAACCAACCCACTAAAATGCCAATATATTTTTTGCTCGAAATTTATTGCATACTTTTCAGGGAATGCGGGGAAAGCGGGAAGGATGATCTGCAGGAGCAGGATGGAGATGTACGGGAACAGGGACACGCGTGTTGTCGGGATTTATTTATTTACTCCTCCATATCCTTCATCCTGCATTGGCGGATTTTGTGCGCTGATAAAAATTTTGACATGCCAAACTGGGGGAATTCGAGGGGAAAACGGGTGAAACTTCGCGCGGGGGATAATGGGTAGCCCGAAGAGGATGTAACAACAAAATGACAGGATATTATTCAATTGAATTCGTTTACATGCATGAACTACATAATAAAAATGCCCTTAACCAAAAAAGGAGAGCGAAGCGTAAAGAACGCAAATTGAACAGCGGCAAAATGGAAATGTATACACATACTCGTACATACGTGCATGTACCTACGGAAAATATGAAATATCTTTTGTATCATTTGTGGCCGGGGCAGAAATGTTTTCGTTTTTTTTTTTTTTTTTTTTGTTGTGTGGGCGGCCAACATTTACATATTCATGCCACACATTTTGGGGGCAGTGTGGGAAGCCCCTTATTAAACGCGCATATTTTATGCAACAAAAGCAGTCCGCTTGAGTCATGGCCCCAAGTACTCACTTGTATTCAGGCCCACGACTCGAATTCGTACTCATTTCGGTTAGTTAGCCAGCCCGGGGGGATTCTCGTTTCTCGTTGCCAAAACATTTTCCACTAATTTGTTTGGGTGGAAGCTGCGGAAATTGTTTTGCGTCTGGCATAAAAGTTTTCCACATGCGAATTCCCATTTGATGGCTACAACTTAATGGCGAGATAAGCAAGAGTTATGAATTATAGTTGGCCAAAGTTTCGCAGAGGAAGTAATCAATGCATTGCGTATAAGTATGTTTGGGCGGATGGAATGGTTCCGTAAATGCCTCAAAGTTATCTGCAAGTTTGGGCCAATAAATGCAAATCAGGAAATATGCTAATCTGGCAAGTAAAGTTAAGTTACTGTATGGTGAAATGAGCAGGAAATTAATTCAGAATATTCAAGGAGGCATAGCTCTATTTATTAGGGTAAACCCTAATTATTTTGTAAAGGAAATTAATATCTACTATTTTTGTTTCAACTTATTTCAATGTGGCACATGAATCTAAGTGATTTCTATGCTTGGTAGACTTAATGCACAGACATTTCAACTTATCCCAAGTATTTTTGTTTGTGGGACATGTCTGATTGTGGAATGCGGATTCCCAGACAACCTGGCGTATCAATAATCCCGCATTGAGATGCATTCGAGCCTGACATCCCAGGGATGCCTTTGGACGAGCTTTCAGCTCCATTCAACACCTGCCGGCAATCGTCATAAATATGCCGGGCTCCCAAAACATCTCGGCCAAGTGAGTTGGCTGAGTTGGATGAGTTAAATGCAACTCATTACGGGATCGCACAGCCATACAAATGTCATACATTCACGAGCTTGCACTTCTCTCTGTTGAGCAATTTTCTATGGAATATTTGCAATTGCAGGCCGGGTGAACTGCACTTGAATTGCACCCCGATCCATCCCCATTCGTTTTTCACCCACTCTGCCTGCCCCAAGTTGTGGCAGCTGCACAAACAGAGAATGCCAGTCAAACACCCAGAAAGGAAGGAAGGAAACCCATGACCAGGATGGGGTTTTTTCCCTCATTCAGTTTGAGTTGTACGAGTATTTTTTTCGTGTTTTGTGCTTACCTTGTGCATGGGTCCACTTGAGCAGGAAAACGATGAATACGAAACGTAAATCCATTTTACAATTTTTTACAGTATTTCGCCTTAAGATAAACTGGCTAAAAAAGCGTAGCAAGAGCATTTATTTGCCCAGCCCGACCAGACACACACACACACCGACACCGACACGGGGGCGCACACACACACACCCTCACGCGAGTGGGAGCGTCTCCCACAGGAATATAGCTATATATATATATATTCGTGTTGCTCGATTTTTGCTCGACTTCCTTGTAGTATTCTATTCGCACACAATTCGTTACATTTCCCATGAAGTTTACAATGTATTTTGCGGCCAAAATGCTTCCGCTTCCTGTTGGCCAGGCCAAGTTTGGCCAAAGTCTAGCCGGCCCATGTCCGTGATATCAATTAGTCAGGTTCCGAGAAAAATCGCACTTCGTTTGTTTATGTTTGCTGCCAATCGCCCACGAAGTTGGCCAACAACCAACAACGCCACACAAAAAGCTCGACACGCGCTCACTTTCGGCTCGCAAACCGTTGGCGGCAGTAACCAAAACTCAACTGAACGGCTTTCAGTGTTAAGCCAGATATGCGGGCTCCTTCTGAGGACTTCACACCGAGAACAGTCCACAGAAATGTTCGACGGGTGGTGAGTTCCAAACTTCGTCGCCACTCGGGCTTTTCGTAACTCGCCTGGGGAAAATGAGCGGACTTTTCGGAGTAAATTCCTGCAGGGAAATCAGCTGTTTCGGCGGGGGAAAATCCGGGGAAAAGAACGGCATTTAAAGGATGTAAGGGAACTTGGCCGGGTCTAGTGATAAGAATTCTTTTCAGTCTTTTCAAAGGATTGCTATTTCTCAACAATATGTTGCTCATCATATATATTTTGTTTTCTCTTTAAATATCTAACAATATTTACAACCTTTCATGATACTTTACAGAATAAAATATAAACTTTGTATATTTTTATAAATATTTTTATTATAAAATTGATAATTTGTTCTTATTTACTAAAAAGCAATTCTGTTTCCAAAGAAAAACTTTTTCTAGTCCCAGCCAAGTTTGTTTATTATCACAGCCCCGAACATAAACATTTGTTGCTGAATCCTGCCGGCAAAAGTGTTGAGTCTGCGCATTAGCCAAATAAACAATATTTTCGGAGTTACAACCGGAATTCCGTTGCTCTCTTCTGCTTACAAAATTGTTGGGAGAAACATGAGATATATTAACAGAGAGAAATCGAGAATCAAGAAAGTAACGAGTAACATTTGAATTTACAGGATAACCGTTAAATGCCGATGCATTTGTATAACTTATTTTGTAAAGAGAAAACAGTTTAGACTTTATTGTTAAATTTTAAGTTTTTTGCGCAACAAATATATTTATTAAATTCTACCATACACTAAAATATCAAAATGAACTATTTGTTATTACAATATACAGATATGATAGATATAGGGTCTGTGAATTCGAGTAACACATTTTCAATCACTCCAGAAAAAAATTAATTTTAAGAGTCTTCAAAAGTCTGTTACCTATTCATTATTCCCCCGACTGCATTGACTGACTTCTGCCAGGGGCTTTGTATTCCCCGAGGGCATTAAGCATTTAAACTTCCTGCTAACCCGCATTTGAGGGCAATCTGCTGAATCGAACCAAACATCAGTGGCATAGTTAATTAGCAACCGACGTCGCCGTTCACCTGCTGATGCCGTTGCATGCACCGCAATCAAAATTAGCTCAGTGGCTTGCGGTGGTGCACCTTAGTTGCCGGCAAAACACCCATCTTAGCCCCTCCATCCTCCGTTCTAGATCGCATGAAAAACAATTAAAACGCTACAAATTGAACACACAAACATCCTTCAAAGGATGTGACCCTTGCCCCGGTTTCTATCTTTTCAGTCCGATAAATATCCTCTTTTTTCCTCCGATGTTCCCTGCTCTTTCTGCTTTTCTTCAATTATTTCCGATTATTACCAGGAGAGCCGAGAGGAAAGAGGAAGGAAAAACCGAGGTCGATGCTTCAAAATCCATGTTAATTGCTATTTTGCTCCCATTGGCTTTAAAAATCCTTGCAAGGAAACTAACAACCTGGGGGTCAGATTTTCCTGATTTGCCATTCATTTTACAGCCGGGACAATAACAACTCCGAGGGAATATCCTTGTTGTTCCCCTAATATACTTTCCTTTTGCTTTTACTCGTGGGAAAAGGGAAACCGGGAGAAAATCGTGCCCAGTGTGAAAGGAAAACCAACGGAGAGATCGGGGGGAAAGATATAGTGGAGGAGAGAGAAATTACAGTGACGACCCAGTAAAGTAAGTTCCGAAGATAAACTGCAATCGAAGGACGTTGACTGAATGATAAATTACACTTGACAATGGGCACCCCCACACACACACACACATACACTTACAAGCTGACGTGTGTGCGGTAGTGTTGGTGTGAGTCCTGTCCAGGATTCCATTTTTTTTCCTTCTTTCAGCTGCCCTTCTGTTGCTCGTTTGTCATAAGTTTACTTTTAATATAAAAGTTTCCTCGCTTTGGTAATGTTGAAAAGTGATCATCGTGATAATTACACGGCCATAACGATGGGACTGATTGTACAGTGGGACAAAAGTAAATGGTAAAGAAAAAATAAATAAAATTTAAAATGCATTAAAAGGGATATTTATGAAAATTTAAGAACTTTTTACTGTAATCAAGTATATATTCTGTGTTACTCTAAAATGATATATTCTTCAGCTATTGATATATCTTGTGTTGTTTTTAATCTTAAAAAAAAAATATTCTCCTTAATGATACACTTGCTTATCACACATTGAATATTTAAAGTTGCATGATTTATTTCAACACTTAACCACACATTTGTTTAACTTTAAATGCATTTATAAGCAGTTATACCGGCTGTCAAGCCATATTTCATAAAAGTTCTTTGACACCTCTCCAACCACAGTAGTTTTCCCAGTCCGTCCGTCAGGGGGAGCCACCGTCGCCGTCCCCGAAGATTTATGTGCTCATGTGGTCAGAGATGCGAAGAAACCCCCGCCAGGAATTCATCTGCTCCCCAGTTTTCGGTTTTCTTGAGTGTGTTTGTCAGCTTGGTGGGGGGTGGTGTTGGTCCAGAGGGCGATGGATGGAGTGGGGTTGTTGCCAAGTGGGCGGGGTAATTATGATGGCCTGCTGCTTTTGGGGGCGGCAGCTGCTGTTGCTCGACAGAAGAACAGAAGCTTCAGAAGCATCAGAAGGAGCAGAAGGAGAGACGGCGGCCCAGTTCCACTCATTAAGGATATCCGTGCAGGAAAACAATGCCAAAGCCAGCTCTCACCCGCCCACACAAAAGCCGTTACAGTGTAGCCGCAAAAGGGGAGCAGGAGGCAGTCTCGCTTTTCCCCGATTTTCCTCGCTTTTCCACTCCGCCCACTTACCCCTTCACGTAATGCATTTAGTGGCTGCGGTTTTTGAGCTCTCACAGCTCGCATTGTTTGCTCTCTGGCCTCTCGCCGCCACTCGCCACTTGCCTCTTGCCCCCGGACACAAAACAATACAAATTTATTTTGCCGCCACGCCCCCATAACCAAAAAGGGGGCGGCGGAAGAGATTCTTTTCAACGGAGGCGAAGCGACGGCCCAGAACTTGAGCAGTGCACGGAAGTTCCGGTTTGAGCCGGGCTCTTTCCCCTTTTTCACTCGCTGGCGGCAAAACTTTTCAGCCAGGAATTATATCAGAAAGTTGAGCGGTGACAGGGGGCAACAAACGGATGCTGAAGGGGCGGGGAGGGAAGGGGGCGTGGCACAACGGGGGATCGGTGCCGAGGAATGTACACCCAAAAGTGTTAATTCATTTGCCTTGGCATAATTTTATTCATTCGGGTTTTGCTGTTGAATTAAAAGTTTGGCCAGCAACTGGCATAACAAATTATAAGAAAATTGTACGAGGTAAGTACTGGATTCCACGGGGAATTATTAATGTTGGCATAAAAAACAGTTTGGTAAATTAGTAAATAAAAAACTATGGGAGTAATTTTTATAACTTTAAAGGTTTCTTAAGGGAAACATTTTCCATATTTTTTAAACTAAGCGAAAGTTACCATTTCTTTTAGACCTTGAATGTTAATAAAATGATTTTAAAAATTTATAAAATATTATATTAATAGTATTATTTTAACTTTACTGACACCATTTAACAGCGCCAGAATCAAATCAAAAGTAAATCTAAATGTCCAATACTTCAGACAAATGATCAATGGGAAAATCACTTAGCATAACTCAGAGAGGGAAATGCAAAATGTTTTTCCACTCTTTGGCTGCCGGGATGTGGAGAAGAGCTTTTCTAACTTTGAGTGTGATTGATTGCGAGGGAAACGTAATTGAAATGCCGCCGAGTTCGGGCGGAGGATACAAAGGGATCTGAATAGACAGTGACAAAAAGGGAAAGTTTTCACTTTGCGTTTTCCTAGACAAGTTTTACCAGACGGCTAGCAGACAGAGCCTGTCATTGTGTATCCTCAAGATGCATATCCTTGGCGTAAAATCATAAATAAAAGGTGGAGAATCCGAAAACGAATCCGAGCGAATGTAAATGCGAAATCAATCCCAGGCTTGGTATTAAAAATGCAACAGTGAAAGCGAAATCCACACTGAGACAAATCATAAAACAAGAGGAGATGGAGCACGAAAATTGCCAGACATAAAATGGATCTAGATAGGAACATCTGGGGTTGATGCTGCCACTTAACTGCAACAAATCGCCAAATAAGTGGAAAATATTGCAGGCCACAAAATTGCGACGTCTTATCTCAAACTCCGCACACTTCTGAGCCAATAAGTGGGCTCAAAGACAGGGGAACCAATTCCGATGACCTCTTTAAATATTAATACGCGTGCTGTGATTGCACTGGGAATTGTGATTGACTTTTTAGACCTGGCCAACCCCCGTGCAAGGCGCATCCTTGACATTTGAGCTCCACCCCCGTCGAAGTTGAGCAGCTAAATGCACAACCCCCGGATAAAAGAAACCCAGGACCTTCAAGGAGAGACAGGAAGACTCCACTCGAGCGATGCCGACGGTCCCAGGAGACATTTTTCCCCGCCAGCCTAGAAAATAAACTTTGCACTTGACAATGTCTAGAGAAGGGCAGAAGGGAAAAACAGTTCGCCAAAAAAGGTGGCAAAGTATTTGTTGGTCCAACTGAGGGGGTGAAAGTGGGGATTCCTCAGTTCATCCAATTAAGAACTTGGCTCATTGCACATGCAATATCTGTCCGTACCTGTTGGCCACGGCTTTTCCCATTTGTTTTCGCTCGGTTTTGTCAATTAGCGCAGTGAATTGTGTCACAAAAAACACGAGTCCGATCAATTAAATGCAAATTTATTGAAATCAATGCCAAATTAGTTTCCAATAAATGCACGATAAATAGTAATTTACGCATGCAATTGCAGCTTGAGCTGAATTTAAATTAGTAAAAACAAATTTTATAAAAATATTAGGTAATACACTGTTTAATTGGTAGTCAAAAAATTGACATCCAGATAATTAGTGCATGTTTTACAATGGCTTCAATCCCTTCAATAATATTAATTTCACACAAATATTGTTTTTCTTTTTGTTTAATCACATTAAATCTTTCAATAGAGCATAGCACACATTCAATATCTTTGGGTTAAGCTCTGGAGTGCTTTAGTTTTATGATCCGCCCTTGGCCATGAGCACAGACATTCTCCTAAATGTAGGATCCATGGGATTTATTAAGCCTCTTTGCCTGTTTTATATCTCCAGGAATGTTTTTGCATATTCCATTAGTCCGAGGGTTGCTTCACAGTAACGAAGACCATCAACTGACCCCGCCTCCCAGCAAAATAGAAGAGGTCCTTGAGCTTTCTGGGCGGGAAATACCCATAGACCGTAGCCAGTTTTATGCCCACTTAATAGTTTTGTTTTTGTGTCTAGATGTGTGTATGAGAGAGGGGGCAGGCAAATGACTAACCAGAAATGTGAAGATGCCCTCGGTATACTGGGTTCCCTGCCAAGTGTCTGGTAATTTATGGGACCGAGCGTCAAATGGCAGACGCGGCGGCTACTTGACAAACCCCCCGGAGGAAGCGAGACAAATACCTCTTGATATGGCATAAGTGTGTGTCTGCCATGGTATGTGTTTAGGTTTAAATTATATTAAACTGCCAGCGTGGCATGTGTCCCATTTCAAATGGGGACTCCCCACATCGAGAGTGGGAATAGCACTAGCACAAAAGCACTGTCCAGAAATTGTTTTCATAATGTTTACCTTAGGCACTGGAAAGAATTTATGAAACCAAAAAAAAAAAAAAAAAATTTTTAATAAATGAACAATATACCTTTAAAAAATAAAAAAAATTTAAAATGTATTATTTATTATTAAAATTACTTAAACTGGTGACTTTTCCACTAAAAACTTGATTGTTCAATTGTGGAAGCCAAAAAATGGAAAGTTCCATTTTTATAATTTTCTTAAGTAGATAATTCATTTTTATTGCAGGATGTATTATAGGTATAATTAAATAAATAACATTTAGTAAAATTTGTACTTAAATATTGTCTAATTTATTTCAGAGTGTATACATTTTTAAATAGAGTGTTGACCAGAGCAGACATTTATCATCGCTTGCAGTCGCTCTCGGACACTTTGCCTAATCCGGGCCCGAATTTCCATTTAGTGCACGGCAAATGTCAAAAGTTGATACCGAAAGTTTTCAACACTTTATCCCCACAGCCGAAAGAAAACGTGGAAGATCCAGCCAGCGGGGGTCGTCTAATTTAAATTGGTTTGTTTTTGTCTGCTGGCATTGCGCTTTTTCCCCGCTCCAACGCATCTCGTTTTGGCCGGTCCTCGACAATTACGACTGTCGCCCCTTTACTTACCTTCCATTGCGTTTTTTCCATCGGGCTCGCCTCACTTTGCAAAACTTTTTAACGCTCTGGGGATTTTCGGGGAGCCAAAACGGCAGGAGTGGCGTTTGCGTTCGCCAGCGGTAAATGGCAGCGTTTACTACCGCTTCGTATATGCTGTCGCACATTTCATTTTTGCTACGTCGGGTGAAATTAAAATGCTTGTTTTCACTTTATGCAAATTCTTTCTTAAAAACGACCAGAAAAAAGAATGAAATCAAATGAAAAGCGGGGAGAGCTTAAGGGTATATCAACTTTTAGATATCCTGTAAATTGCAATTACAAATTGTAAAATTGTTTTTGGGTAAAATAATGTAGTTTTGATCTTCACAAAAGTTAAATACAAATTTGTTTCTTCAGAATATTGACTATTAAAATTTATAATATTTTTCTATACCCATTAGCCCTTCTCATTCACAGGGTATTTTGTAAAACCCCACAAAGACCTGCTGAGTGCCCGAATATGCATTAAAAAAAGAAGAACAGAAAAAAAACGTGGAGCAAATAAAAATGGCGCGTATTTACGTTTGGGAATATGTAAATAAGCGTCCGTTGTATTTATTTTCCTTAGCTTGACGTGGCATCCGGACAAAGGAGGGTGTTCGGTGGGAAAGTGGGGAAGGTGTTGGGTTTGCTCAGCTTTCGCTCGGTTAAGGGGAAGTTTTGGGTACTCGTGGGGCTTACAAGCTATTAAAATGTCGCTGCAAGTACTTAACTGCTTGATGTTGTCAATTTAAATTAAAACCACTGCCGCAAAGTTACGCAACCAGATGGGGAACAGACCTATAGACAGTGCCCCAAACCACTTCGCCGGTTCATCGCCAAAAGAGTTTGGGGCACAAATGGATATTGCAGCAGGGCATGCGTGGCCCAAGAATAAAGGCCGCTGGAAGGGGCATCAAAACTTTTCTTTATGACTGCACACTCTCTCCGGATCCGCTGTCTATATGCTAATGGTGACCGGATGGGCAAACTGGGAAATTAAAAAGTTGCCGGCTAAGGATCTGAAAATGTCTTGTCATTAAGGAAAGTGGCTTATTACGTACGTTCGTCTAAAAACGGAGTTGGGTGAAAATTTCCAACACTTGACGTAATTGTTTCCAAAAAGTTTCACGACTCTTACATTGTGAGAAGTAATTGAAAGGTTTTCCTGTGGGTGACAATACATTTTAACAAAATGCTCGGTAATAAAGAAGGTGCTTTTTATTGCTCGCAATTTATGAATTGTCTGCCTTAGCAACTCTGTTTGTTTTTACGTACTTACTTACCCAATTTAATTAATTAGATAACTTGTAAGACAAGATATATAATTTCACAAAGGTTATACTAATAAAAGAGAGAAGCTTTTCCGATTAACTGAGCCCATTTATTTGAACCGATAAAAATCGCAGAATATTCCCGAATAAAAATACATTTTTATGCCGCCGACAAAGTTGGCAAAATATAAAAACGTTCCACGCTGATCTCGAAGAGCTTTTCCTACCTTAAATATATGAAAAAGAGCCTTTCAACAACTGCCTCCCCCCGTCCCCCTCTCCATCCAGCTGCTATCTCTTTCGGTGGCGTAATAAGCGATTCGGCTCAAGGCATTTTAGTGCACACAGACACACACAACACTCACACAAACACACACGTAATCGCATAAAAGCAGAGCCAGGACGTGCTCTGATTTTGTAAATAATTGCAATGACGATGCCTCCTTCCCGAGGACTTGGCTCGAATTCCGCAAAAACAACCTCCGGGCGCCAAGTCAAGCCCACACGACCGAGCACATGATAATATTAATAATAGTGGTAATAATCATACGCACTGTATGACGAGTACACATCCGCACACAAAGCGGGAACAAAAGAAAATCCCGCCGTCGTCTGACGCCTGCTCCTGTTTAATATGATTAATGCCCCATCCGACCAGACTTGGCAAAATATTTACACGTATTCGCGCAGCTCCAGAAAATCTTGGGGAGGAAAACCCCCTTTTGAGCCCCCTTTTCAGCATTGGGCTTAGCGGGTCTTAGTCCTGACAATCTTCAAAGCAGTTCTGAAATGCACTTTCAACAGGATCCTAATGAGAGTCTGTCTTTTGAAAGGTGAGTTTAAGGGGTGAAAATACAGATGAGGGTACAGTACCGATTAATAAAATTTATAACCCAAATATAATAAATATAAGAATCCACTCCAATTTTTTTTTTGTAATTTTTCGCTTTAGAAAATCAAATTTTCCTTGATATCTTCTTCACTTATATATTTTTTTCTCCGCTTTTTGCAACTTCCCATAACCGCATACAAAGTTTACTTTGAATTCAATGAACCAAACGAAATTTGCCTGACAATTAAACAGCTTGAGATGCCAAAAAGCCAGGGAAGAAAAAGCGAGGAAAATATAGCATTCATTCCACGGCTGGCAAAGCAGAAGTTTATGCATCAAAGTTAGTTGTGTGGCGCCCCAAACTTTGTGCAACGATTTGGGTAAGCGATGCGATCCACAAAAATTGTGTGCGAGAAAAGAAACGAGATGCAAAGGAGTAGAAACCAATTGCAAAGTTTTCGCCAGAAAGATGAGAAGATGGGAACTTCGAAAAGGTAAATCTGTCTCCATCTGCATGCCTCAACCACTTTTTGCCATTGTGAATTTATGCCTTTTGGCTGCCGGCGAGTCGGCTGCATCAAAAAGACCAAAAATACCAAAGGTAGGAAAATGCAATAGCGCAGAAATTAAAGAATAATATTTTCTTAGGTCCAACCACGAAATGCAGGCGAGCGTTAACCGAAGAAAAAACGAAAAGATAAACAAGGAATGGGCGGGAAACTGCGAATAGGGGGAGGAAAATCGAGACGGGGTCTCTTTAAAAAAGCATAAATTGTCATTGACGAGGGGTGGATTCCGAAGACCCACCACCCACATCCTTAAGTGTTGTTCTTTGGCAACTAACCCCTATGAAAGCAATTGGGGTCGGGGTCGAAATACGATATGTTTACTTAAGAGGAAGATACGGTGGCCCGAAACAGGTAAAAAGCTTTTGTCAATCAAGATGCCAACTGACAGTTGACAGTGTTTTTGTTTTTAAAGCTTGCATAAATAAGCCATAAATGGCTGATCAACAGCATTAAGAGCTGAAAAAGGAGCATTGGGTATAAAATAAAGGAATATTTAAATAAACTCGGCGAGGGCATAAATCTGCATGCAAACTAAATGACAACATGCGTGGCACGAACAACAATTGCATCATCAAGTCGTGACGTTTGACAAATGAGCCTTAACCTCCCCATTTTGCCAAGTAAAATATTGCAGCACTAACACACTTGCAAACACACGCATACACTCTTGCGAATTCAAGGTACATCAAATGGGTGTAACAAAAGCAAAACGAAAGCGGAGAAGTCAGACATCAGGAGTCCTGGAGATGGAAAGTAATGTGGTTCCAAAGTAGAACAAAATTAACCTAAAAATAAAATAAAAATATTTATAAACTAAAAATTAAATTCATAACATTTCATATAAATTTATACATTTTTAGATAGATTTGTAGATGGATAAGTATTTTTTGCAAACGATTCTTAATTTGTATACTGACAAAGAGAGTATTCTATTACTTTCTTTTTTCTCTTATTTATAAATAAAAATTGTTTGTAACTTATAAGTATTTTATTTTTAAAAGGATTCCTCACGCAATCACCTCCAGTGAGCACTTCCATTTCTAGAGTTACTTTTTCCACCAAAATGAGACGAGGAGGAGACAGTTCCGCCCTGCACTCCCACAATAAGAGTCATAGTCGAGTCAGCACAAAATTCAGACAGCCTCCGACATTCTGCAGTCCTCAGTCGTTGCCGTCGCTTTTTATGGCAAATTGTCAGCGCTGTCGTAATTTTTAAGTTAAAAAATTGTTAAAAAATTTTCGTAGCATTCATTACCATGCCGCCGCCTGCCACTCACTCTCAGTTCAGATGGTTTGCATCGAGTTCAGGGGTTCTGGGGGGTTTGGGTTCGGTTGGAGCTGTTAGCTGCTGGGGGTTTTGGCCTCCGCTTGTGATGTCTGCGTGTTGCACAATAATTTATTGCCGCACAATTGCAGCTGCCACACATTCCAATGCACTTGGCGCCCGAGCAGCCACACCGAGTACGGGTTGTGGGTCTTGGATTCCACGCTTCAGCGGATGGGGATGGGGAACCGGGGAGATGGGCAGATGGGTACCCACTCCTTGTCGGAAGGCACCCGCGGTGCTTGTAAAAGCAACTCACATTTGGCGTTGATTTCCAGCAGAGGATGCCGGCTTGTCGTGCTGTCATGGCACCGCCACCATCCACAATCCCGAACCCGAATGCCAAATCCACCCAACCGCCCGGCAAATACCCATTCCCGCTGCATGGATGTAATGTAATTTTAAATTTATATGCCCGACTAGATTAAGGCACTGCTGCCAACGTGCCGGGATGCATGGAAAAGTATTTTCTAATGAACTCTTTTCGGGGGATCCGCCAGGATAAACATTGTCGGAGAGTGGAGCATTGGTGTGTTCATGCGAGGCTCATTAAAAAATTCAGCTAATCAAAAACACTCGTGGGAACTTTGAGCAAAACGAGCTTACCCTCTCCTTAAGTCGTGTGACCTTTAAAATGGGAAAATGAAGTTGTAACAAGAACATCGGGAGGAACAAAGGGAAGGCCAGTTAAAATAAATAAAATTGATACGGGTATCAAAGCTTGAAAATAGTTTTTGTTTAAAAAAACTATTTTAATTTACATTAGTTCCATTCAAAGTGCCGTGTATATAAGAAGAAGTGGTTGGGACTGTCTTAACAAGCATCAGCAGTAACTTATTCAAAGATGAAGCTCTATTTAGGAATTGTGGCCTTACTACTTGTTGGAAGCCGTTACAAACGCCCTGGTTGGGAGTCAAGACATACCGGTTAAAATTAAATAAATAAATAAAATCCTCACAACCTATTCACAAATCGTATGGAGGGTGGGCTGGTAAAAAATAAATAAATAAATAAAATAATCGAAAAAATATTGAACATTACTTTTCGGGTTTTTTTTATACCCTTGCAAAGCAAAAGGGTATTATAATTTCAGTCAGACGAAGTTAAGGAGACACCTCAGACCCCATAAAGTATATATAATATATTCTTGATCAGCATCACCATCTGAATCGAAGCTATATCGGATAGCTCCCATACGAGAGAATGAAATAAAAAATTCTTCCTGCAATTGCATAAGCGGTTCTAACCGATTTCAGTACAATTAAAATATTTGCATTCTTGTTGGCATTAGTTCCATCTAAAAACATCTAAAAACACCTATACAACCCCTAACCTTGAGCCAATGGAACTTAAAAACATTAAAATCCTAATCTTATCAAAGATGATACTCGTTTCATTAAATTTCTCTCCTTGAATTCTGAAACGGTTTTAGTTCAAGAAGCTGACTCTTTGATAATTTTTGAACTTAGTGGGGAAGAAGGACTTCTGCTTCAGGACTCACCTCGCCACCCTTCGCGTGGGCCACCTTGCTCAGGCGGTAGCACCGCTCCACGCCGATGGTGCAGATGGCTGGGTTGCACTGGGTGAGGTACCGCCCGCTGCCGCAGCCCACGTCGCAGACCACGGAGCCCGGATCGAGTCCGCTGAGGAAGTGGGCCATCCGGGGTCGCACCGGACCCGTCGGCTCCTCGCAGTGCTCGTAGACATCGTGCACGTAGGCCCGCTCCAAAGCCGCCGACCTGCCGCTGGCATCGCTGCTCGATGGCTTCTCCTCGGCCACCGGTTTCGCGGACTGCGGCAAAGTCTTTGCTGTTGTCTCGCCGACAGGTGAAGTGGTGCCACCTGGTCCTGCCGCTCCTGCTCCTGCTCCCGGAGCTCCTGCCGTCTCGAGTGTTGTGACTGCCGTTGGGGATATAAATTCGGAGGAGCCTGAAGAAGGTTCGCAGTTAAGGTAAATTGCATTTAAAATCATTATATTACTAATATAACTTATAACAAAATTTGTATTGTTGATATATGAATAGCTAAAATATCATATACCATATTTTATTTATTAGTTAGTATTATATATCCTTCTACCTCCCTTTAAACCATAATCAAATGCAAATGTAATTGGATATTTTGCAAACATGGCTCTACGGCGACTAGAAATTGCTGCCATTTACTTGGCAGCCATTAGGGATGTCTTCGATAGGGTAGACTATTTTGATGGATTGTAGGATGGCAGGGGAAAGGGCACGAATGCGAGGGGGTTTACGAATGAGATTGCGGTCTGACAGTGGCTTTTGCGGTCTTGTTGCGCGTCTTCGTCCATTAGAGAACCTTGCGAAAAGTGTCAATTACAACAGATGTCAGAAACAATCAGCGGCGTAAATAAGTCATAGGGCCCCACACACATGTGATGTGACATCGAGGACTCCCCCGGGAAAACCAAACCAAACCGAACCAAACCGCTCCTTCCTCGGAAAACTTCTGTGCGGCAAGGTAATCAATAAGCCCGAGTCGACCAATTGCGTGCGGCTAATTAATAGTTGGATGGGTGCACCAGGAAAAGGTGTCAGATACAAAACAAAGACATCGCGGGTCAAAACTGTTAACAGTTCGACGGGTGAAAATTGCGGGGGGAACTTGGCCATTGGTCATTGTGCGTGTTCGAGGCCAATCAATAGCCCAAATTATGGTAATCAATTTTAATTAGAGAGACGGTAAGAACGAAAGCCACCGCAACCCTTCGAGCAGCTCACTCAATTCTGTCCAAACGCAACTGAATGAAAGTGGACTGAAAAGGACGCTTCTCGATCTGAGTGGACTGCAATTGACGTAGTCAAAGCGCAGCTCATAATCCGAGCATCATGTTTAGAGACGACACATGGAGAAATATTGTATGAAAAATACTTAAAAAAAAGTTTTAAAAAAATCAATAAATATGAATACATCAATTCGTAACTCTCAGATTAAGCATACTACGTTTCATGGAATAATTAATTAATTTTATTTAACTATTTTATATAAGATTCATAATTCTTGCAGTGCACCCATCCAATTGGGAGAAAAGCTGGATGGGGGGAATTGAGTTGGGATTTTTGCTTATGTCAAAATTCGAACAATGGCCAAGTGGCTGGCCCAAAATTGAGGCTGACAGCCCTCATGGACGCCACACCCTCATCCTCGTCCACATCCTCCTCCTCGTCCTCCTCCTCATCCTCCTCCTCATCCACATCCTCGTTCTCATTCAAATCGAAACTGATGGACAGTCAGCCACATAGAGGCATTGAATTTAGGAGGAGTGGATTGGGGGGCGTGGCATGCAGGAGGCACTCGGAAATTGAAGCTTTCTCTGCCAGAGGCATCGGCTTAAAAATTCCATTATTTGGATTAGACCAATTGTTGCTTTGAATTCGGCCTCTCAAAACGCATAACGCTTATTGAATAGGCGAAATTATAGTCCGTTGGCGATTTGAACAGTGCACGTTAAAGCCGATCAATTAAGTTTAACTGTATTAGATAGATAAATTGTTTGAGTATTATTAAAAACAATTAATAATCTTTAGCTTGCATTTTGACTTCAACATACAAACAAATCAGGTTGATAAATTTTCCAATTTTATTTTGTTGATTTAATTGCTAGATCTAAAAATTCATTATTTTAATATTTTTAATTTCGAATAAGTCTTTTACTGACTTTTCAACTATTATTTTCAGTACTGTCTGAATGCCAAAGTAACCACCCTCAACATTGTGGACCGCTGAAATCTGCCAAGTTGCCAAACCTTCTGGGGTCAAAGTTGGCAAACGCAAAGTAATTTGAAAAGTACACAACATTGGGCAACTGGAGCAGCTGCTGCTGCCACTGCTGCTGTTGCTGCTGCCAACTGCTATTAACAGTAAATGACTGGCCTAATTTATGCACCTTGGTCCGAGCCCACATACGAGCACTCGGCGAGGGGAATTACAATTGTATTGCAGTCAACATTTCCATTGCCATTTCCATTTTCCGACGGGGAAAGGGGAGGAGAGGCGACAGGACACGCCGCAATGCCGTAACTTGATGGAATAGCTAAGCCGAAAACCAGCCGCACAGACATGACTACAACTCGACTGAAACTAGTGAAACCCCACCCATCCCAATTCGATCCCCCACCCACCACTCATCCAACATCCATCTCGGGGGGAAATTGCTTTACACAATCGAAACGCACGAAATGACAATATAAATCGAGGGGCGGAACTAATTTTGGCAAAAGACTCGAAATAGGCCGGGCACGGCCGCAAAAACCGGAATGATGATACTTGAAGGGGGTGGCAAACAGAATGGGAAAAGTCATGGAAAGCCATGGAAAGCCCGACGGAAAATGTTTGATATCGGGGTGTGCAATTTCAGCTGGTGCTACATCTGAATTGGCCAAAATTAACGCAAAGAGTAGAAAAGTTTTTGCTTGCGGAAATTGCGTAACTACGCATTAATGAAGAAAAATTGCACCACGTGGTTGGGTGAAACTAACGTCCCATTGAAACCCCATGGAAAGCGGCTAACGGGGGGGAAAACTTTCCGAAATTGGACGACACTTTAGCCATAAAAGGCCTCTGATTTATGCCAATTGAAGCTCGTCCAGGTAAACTGGCCCATAATGAAGTGAACTCCTGAAATGAATCCGCTGCCAGAGGGTGATTATGGTGGTTAAATGGGTGGCAGCTACTCGGGATTAGCAGCCAGCTTTGATCATCATCGTCATCCAATCATTTGTTATTCGCAGACCTGTGCTCCCCGTTCGTAATTCTTTTATGGCCGTCATTAAATCCCTGACCAGACAAATGGAGACATCTTCTATTTACGGCTTCGCCAACTATAATCATCGTCCATCATCTGTTGCCTAATTAATTGTAAAGTTTTTCTCTTCCCATTGCGAAATCTTCTGCGTCCATTAATATTGCCGCAGATGTCGTAATTGCCGGGACATCGGGTCGGATGATTAATTTATCAAAGTTTTGCAATTGCAATTCAACCGAGAAAATTTCCTAGAGATTTATTTTCTCTTAAGTTTTAACAATTAAGTTAATATTATTTTCCTAAAAGTTATATATTTTACAATTTGTTTCAGGGAAACAAGCCTCAAAAGGAGCACAAGTCAATCTCCTCCTCCTTCTGAAGTGTTCAACGATTGAAATTCATGAAATTAGTTTTAATAATATTAATAATATCATCACTTGGCAGCGGCAACCAACTTTGGAGTGGGAAGATGGCCAAGAACGAGGCTGGAACTCCAACGCCATAAGCCGGCTTGGTTTTGGCTTTCGACTTTGGCTCCGGCTTGGCTTTAGCATTTTTGGTCATAGTTCAACGCTTGCCGGGAATTTGCACAAAGGCGTCAAGGCAACCGAGAGACGAGGCCCACCATTCTCCGCTCTCCATGCTCCATCTCCATTCTCCATCTCCAACTGGGGGCTTATGCCCATTGTTTGCACTGTTGCCAGTGCCAACCATCATCAACATTATGCAGAAGGCTCCCGGGCTAAGATCTGGCCACAAGTTATAAAATTGCCTGGTAGCCCCAACTTCCCAACCGCCACAGCCCCCAAGCTCCAAGCCCAGTGAGCCCCCCCCATCCCACAATTCCATTCATCTAACAAATTTCTCTCTCTTTGTTTAAATTTTGCGCGCCGGAAATTTGCTTATCGCCGCTTTTCAGTTGCGGCTCTTGATGCCAGAGGTGGCGTTTAAAAGGGGATGGTGCAGGGGGGCGAAGGGCAGTGGCACACTGTTTTCAGAGGGACGCAAAGTCAATAGGGAGATTAGTGCGGCAGGCATTGAGCCGGCACAGAGCTGTGCTAATTGAGCGACCGGTCATGGCAACAGCTTAAATCAATAGAGCCGCCTGGATTTATTCAATATGCAACCGAAATGAAAGAGAAACTTCGGGGGGTTCATGCGGCAGATGAATTAGTGATTAGCCTTGCACTTCACGAGTATATTGTGTTACTTTGTAGGTTGAATATGCAATATTCAAAAGGGAAAAGTCGTATGTAGTTTCATTGCATTTTAGGAAAATGTTTTCTGAAAAAGAAATTATGCTGCAACTAACTTATTGATTAATTGTTCTTTTTTTTTTTGTATTTTAGTAACTAAGTAAAATTCACAGGTGTTTTATGTTATGTTCTTTATTTCAGTTACAGTTTTAAAGTACAATTCACAGTTCTTGGTTTCCAAGAACGTAGTTCCTACAAAATTCCCAAGCCCAAGCCACCGCCTCCTGGTCTCTTTCCACGATTTCCTCCTCCCCGATTGCCTCCCAATCCCAAGGTGCCGCCCACTCCTCCCAAAGTCTGACCCAAACCACCTCCCAGGTTTCCCAATAGACTTCCCAGTCCCTCGCAACTGGTGGAAGCCAGAGGAGACAACGAAGCCCCCAAAACGGACAATTCGCAGAAGCGGAAATCATTGGAGGTCTCCAGTTTTGTGTCTATCTTAATGAAAGGAGTAGCTTTCCCTGTAACACTCTGGAATAGCGATGAGCTCTGGCCTCCCTTTGATTTCTCTCTATTTGCAAACTGAACCAACAAATCAATGAGGTTATTGCGTACTTTAAGATCCTCAGAACTTGTCAATCGAGTTTCCTCTAGAGGATTGCCAAAAATATCATTGGCATCGAACATATAACCAATTTCATCGCCATGACCTACTGTTTCTGGTTTATCGCTTGCTGTTTCCGATACTATAGGAAGTCCCCTCAGGAAGTTAATACCCTTCGACTTGGTGCCATTATACTCGAAGCTGTACATAAAGGCTGGAGATATCTTGGACCAAACTTGGGTGGTCAAAACTGCTGGTAGATTAAACAGAACGTCAGTTGTGGATTCCACAACTTTGGAGAGAACTTGATCCACATTCAGGGTTTGGGGTATTTTCCAAACATCTTGAAGAGTGGGAGTTAGAACGCTAGTTAAACCCGGTAGTTGTGGTTTGGCAATCTCCCCTGTTAGCTTATCGATCTTCAGAAAACTGGTTAACTTGTTCAGGGAATCGCTGAGGGATCCCAGGAACTTTTCCGCTGAACCAAAAACTTGTTCTATAGTTTCCACTGTCACAGAATTTGCCGTTTCGTGTTTGGTGACTCCAGTCAGCAGGGGAATCCCCGAGAAATTGCTGCTCCTGAGCTGCTGTTCCGGTTCACCAACTATCAAACTTGGCAATGCTCTGCCATCATCTTCGCTTTCTATGTGAGGTTGGAATCCAACATTTCCAGTTAGTCCTTTCACTAGAGCTCGTCCTGCCAAACGCTCAGTTTGAACTTTGTCGTCGTTTTTGATGATCTCCTCGGCACTTTTCTGAAATAAAAAATATTTAAATAAATAACACTTGCATTTGTTTGCAAAATGGAATATTATTCCGAATAAAAACGGAACTGTGATAATGTTCTTTGGTTTATTAGAATCTTTTCTTTGATGTTTATTTTATTAAAGTATTTAGTTTTCTCTTGAAAATTCCTTTCATACTCACCCCTCTCATGCAGTTTACAATCTCCAATTCATTCCCTGTGGGACATCCATTGATCTTGGCCACTTCCTGGACACTCTGGACGGGTTCCTTGTCCATGGCATACTGAGACAAGGCTGTTCCGGACATGGCCACCACTCCGTGGACATCCCCAGCACTCTTGGCCGTCTGGGACATCGAAAGATACATGGCACTGGCTGCTCCAGATCCGTGTCCAATAGCCTGAACCTGCTTGGGATTACCGCCGAAATATGAAATGTAATCGGTGACCCAGCGGAGAGCTGCGGCCAAATCAAACATGGCCAGATTTCCATCGAACTGCTTGGTGCCATCGCCCATTATTCCCAGCGACCCCAGGCGATATTGAGGCGCCACCACAATGGCGCCCCTTTGCGCCATGGGCGTGGCATCGTACTGGGCCGCAGACCCATATCGATAGCCACCCGGATGGATCCAAACGAAAACCGGCAGACCCGTACTTTCATCCGGCATTTGGGGAGTGTACACATTCAGCAGCAAACAGTTCTCGTCGCCAATAATTCGCTGGGGAAACTGCGGATGCGGTTGAATGCAAGGCGGTCCATGTTTCGTGGCATTCATGTCGCCGGCCAATCTTTTGTAGACCGGTCGGGAGTACCTCAAAGGGCCCACCGGAGGCTCAGCGTAGTGCATTCCCAGGAAGCTGTAGATGCCCGTATTGGGATTTCGGAAGCCCTCCACTCGAGCATCGCGATTAAAGAGCCGCGCGAAAATCACGGGATCATCGACTGGTGGAGCCTTCGACTGCTTGCCACCCACAATTCTCTTCACTCGAACATGAGATTCTCCATCCGATTCACACCTCGACAAGGTCACTATAACTAGTAACAAAAAAATAATGTTCCGCTTCAGCTGCTTTTGCATTTCGCTTCGCTCGATTGTCAACTGGGAACTGAGCACTAAGTGGCATTATAATCGAATCCCCAGCTCAAAAGTGAGCGAGGCCGGCTACTTGCTCAGCTTGGCGATAAATAAAAGCAATAAAAATAAGTAAAAAAAAATACATCACAGATGATAAACAAAAAACAAAACGAGAGACGAAAACTTAAACTTTTGCGGCCGCCTCGTTTGCGTGCCTGCAATTGGATAAGACCATGTTTGGAGCCCAGATTCTCCGGCATTCTAATCACGTACTCCCCGTCAGTTATAGTTCACTGAGTCACTGAGAATCGGGAATTAGCTGGGGGCTTTTCGGATAACTTCTCGACCAGCAAACACGAAGTACAACTCCCGAAAGCAAACCTAAAAATATAAAAGTTCAAGGACAGTGTTTGAGGTTTAAATACAACTTGAATATGTTTTATCTCATTTCATTTATATATTAACTTTTTTTGAATACTTGTTTACATAACAACAGAACCTGTTTCATTTCCCTTTAACGAATGTTAAGCATTATTTCCCAGATTGATGTCTCTGCTCATCTGTCGAATTGAATGCAGTTGAATGCAATTAAAGCGGAGACAATTTGCTGAATTACGTTATTATTTTATTGGCAACGTGAGATTTGTTGCTAATAATCATTCCCTCATTTCTTAATAACAAACTGGTCAGTTTGGTTTTTCCCACTACTTTGTTGATGTTTCTGCTGTTGCTGTTCGCTGAAATTCAATTGCATGAGCAAAATAATAATGAGAGTTTAAAGCCGGCAACGGTCATTGTCTGTAAATGAGACTTGGCTGGATGGGAAAGAAGTGGCTTATGAGTCCGTAGTGCCATATTTTACAGCTGTGTGGCGTTATCTTCTGCCCAGATGAATTATATTCCTCAGCATATTTACAGCATAAAGAGGAAGTGGAGAGCGGAGGCCGGAAGTTGGAAAATACGACGGACCAAACGCATGTTGAGATTTCAACTTTCTTGACCCATCCCCTTGTGAAAAGTGGAGCCAGGACTGGAGACCCTTTCGGGGATTATGACGGGGACCGAAGGGAGCGGCACGCGTTGTCCTAACTGCCAGAACTCTGCCACATGAATCTCAATGTTGTTGCCCAGCCAGTCGGCCACGTACGGCAGCTGATTTGTCCCAGTCTCGGCTGCAGGCTTTCTATCCACTCATCTTATTTTGGCACTGAAAATAATTTATTTTAAGCTTGAAAAAATATAATTAGGGAAAATTTGTTATTCGTTAAAAGCTAGAATTTTTAAAAACTTAATAAACAATTATTCAAATTTTAAAACAATAATTTTGTATAATTGTTCCTAAAAAATTGCATAAATTATGAGGTTTTTACATTTCAGTAAGGTGTTTGTTTAAGGCATATGATTTAGATAAAAAGTTATTAATTTAAGGGGGTCTTCCTATGTGACGGCCTGTTTTTTAGGGTTATTTTAGGATTTTTTTCTACGACCAGTAAATATTTAGAGCTTCAAGTTTTTTATCATTTATTAACACATATTTGGACAGTATAAATAAAAAATTTCAGCAAAAAATATTCGGTCAAACTAGAGTTACAGCGCTCTGAACACCCCCGCCTCGAAAAAAAGAGCTCCCACTTCCTCCACGATTCCGGCTGATCGGCTTATCAGAAAAGAGAAAAATAAACGGCGTTTTAATTTGTAGGCTTAAATGCACGGAATGAACTACAATCAAATGAATATAAAAAAAATTGGATTTTTGATAGACATTTGAAAAAAAGTTGCAAATTTGGCGTTTTTTTTTTGTTTTTTGCTATAAAAAAATCGAAGTTTTGAAAATTTTCGATTGATAATAGTTCATTCCATGCGTTTACATATATTGAGTGTGCCCTGTAAATTTCAAGTAATTCGGTCCAGCCGTTTCTGAGATACAATGGAGGAAAGTTTGAAAAACACAGTTTTGAGAAAAACGCGTTTAAAGTTTCTAACCGCCAACTCAGCGCTTCGAACCGCTCTTTCTTTTACCTGCTGTATCTTTAAAACGACTTCGAATTTTCTAAAATCGCTTTACTACCGTATTCTAGACATGTTAAGAGAGCAATTTAAAAAAAAAAAAAAATCGATTTTTTCAACCCATCACATAGGAAGACCCCCTTAATATAAATTAAGAGCTTAGCTGTAATTTCTTGCAGTGCAATTCTAACCACTTAAGGCCCTTTCATGTGTCGCAGACAATGGCCAAATGACATTTAAAGTTACGACAATATAATTAAGTATACTACTGGGAGCTGACGCCAACCGAAGTCGGAGGTGGAAACATAGCGAAAACAGAAGCTCTTACCCTGGCCAAGGAATAATTATATATGTATGAGGAGCGTCAGGTCCAGGACCTTCTCATGCTTTTCCGATTGCCTCGAGAGGCGTGCAACACTCTTGCAGCACGCAAAGTTTGCCCAGATGCAAAGAGTGGATCCCAGCTCCACTTTTCTGCTGGCCAACTCGAGTGGCACGCCTAAGCGTTTAACGAGATTAATCTTTTTGCCTGCCCGACTTTCTCCGGCTATCTCAATCCGAACTGTCCCTGCCAGAGAGAAGTCCTTAAAAAGTTATTAATCTTCGGGCTATCGAGTAAATATTTTGCTTTTAATTGAGTTTAAATGCAGCATCAAAGTGATTTGCATAAAAGTTGACTTTGTTAAGAGTGTGAAAGGGTCTGACATGTTAGACAAACACAAAATATCTAAAAGCCAATTATCACATGCTAGATTGGATTTTAATTTGATTTTGAATTAGACTAGACCCTAAGCTTATTTTATCTAAGGAATATTGAAAACAAATACCCTCACTTTTTGTTTATTAAATAGAATTAATATATCCATATTTTATCTATGTCTGTACAACAATTATTTAAGACGCAAAATTCAGATATTCAAAGGTTCAGTATTTATTAATACAATACATTTCATTTGATCATTACTCTTCTTGCATTGAATTTTGTATTAATTATCTTGCTTATCGTTTATCCAGCCAACACATTTTCCCAGCCTAATTTATCTTTATTTTTTCCTTGCTTTGCGTTGTGTGCCACACGCAACGCACTAGGATTTTTCCAGCTGCCCCTTGGTCTTCCCTCCCCGCGCCTTCAAGTTTTTCGGTTGCGTGTGCCACGCCCATAAGTGCGTGGGTGGCGTTCGTGGAAATTAGCGGCAGCTTCCCAGCTGCTGCTGATGCGATTTTGATGCGCAAAATATTAATTATAAAACAATAATTGAATTGTGCTCTTGCTCTTGGCAGTTGGCAGTTGAGTGAGCGTCGAAAGGTGAGCGATTTTCCTTGCCCCCGGAAAATCTCCCACACACATGCCAAAACTTCATTATGCTAGACCAATTTTTCTTTGGCATCTGTTGGTATTTGTTGGAGGAAAACAAATTAGTTTGCCGTGATTGCAATTTAATAGGATAACACGGACTTTCATAAGAGGAATTTATCAGGTGCCTCAGCTGGATATCGCTCTGAATAAAAATAATTAATTGCTTTCGGAATTATTAAACATTAGTTAAAGATTTATGGTAGCTTGAGAGATTATTTATTATAATCAGTACAAAAATAAGGTACTACCTTATGATTCGAAATAAAAGTAACAGTCGCCTCACAACTTTCCCCCTTTGATTTAAATTTTTTCTGCAACTGCGTAAAATTTTTGAATTAATTTCCTCGCATATTTTCGTCCCCAGTCAACTATAAAAGGGCACAAGAGCGTAAATAATACAAAAATACACGTACATAATAATAAATAAATATGAAAATATAGCACTGAATGGACCACCCACTCCACTTGGAAAAGAAAACAATATACGATGGGAGGCCACGGGAAAAAAAGCGAAGAATCGAAAACAAAACAAAGTTAAACCCAATACATTAATGGTATTTGCATTTGTACTGATTTTATTTGGTTTTTATTGAATTGATAAAATCACAACGAACAGGAGAAACAAACGAGGTTCGAGGGCTCGAGTCCTCGTCCTTGCTCTCGTCCTGGTTTTTCCCCCTCTCCAGTTGCCAATTTGATATTCCGATTGCAATTTATGTGCGCCCCCCACACACACGCACATATGTAAGCCGCTTCTGCGTGTGTGTGTGTGTGTGAGTGCGAGTGTCTGTGGGGAAGCTTCACTGTGATTCTTTTGCCCCCGCTCCACTTCGATTGAAGCTTTGTGTTTAAACATCTGCAATATGCTGCGTGTTCCGGGTAGTTGAAACCCCTGGAATGGGTGAAAATGTTTTGGGATCAGACTGCAGTCGGTCCTTAAATTGTGGAAGGGTTTTTGGGGGGATTCCTGATGGTTGCTGGGCGTTCGTGTGTGCCTCTCCTGACTTACACTTGTATCTGTGTTCGAGATGAAGTCGTGATAAGCATATGTTTAAATTAGTAAAATTCTTCCTAAAACTCAATAATAAAAAAACAAAGCGTATGAATCCAACCATTGAATTATCAGTTTATCATGTACTTGGAATTTTTAATTTCATATTAAAGAATATCTTATTATAAAACTACCCTATTCGTAAAATTTATTTGTTTATGAATTTTAAAGATTATACCGCGATCTAATACATTTACTTTAAATATGATTAAACTATTCCTTTTTGTTATTAATAGTTTGCACTTTATTTTACAGCACATCAATCACGCTGTCATCTCAACGGATCCCTGTTCCATACGAGACGCGTGTTTATTTGGCACCGCAAATGCGTTTCCTCTTCTGCAAGCGGGAGTGGTGGGAACGGGGTGTTTTGGCTCGGGCGGTTCAGTTTGGTTCGGTTGGGTTTTTGGTTGGTTTGGCTCGGTTTGTTCGGTTCGGTTTGGTTTGGTTTGGTTTGGTCTGTGGCAGCAACGTCAGCAGCGCTGCGGTTGTCGCTTAATGGAATTCCGTTCTTGCATTAAATGTGACACACAGAGAGCTGCCAATCGGAATGCCACCCGGCCAACGAACCAACCCACCACCCACACTGAGCGACCTTCCTGATTTTC